ATATAAAGTAAGTATATTTTCAAAGAGGGTAACCACGGGTTATGACCTATATTATATTATCACCCTATGTGAGGGTCTTGGAAATTGAAACTTTGATTATACTTAGTATAGTTGTCATTGTACTTGTCAAATGCTTCCAAGTACTGACCTCCCCTTCACGGGGGAGGCCACCTCACAGTTTCAGGTAGGAGTTGAGCTCGCTACAAATACTCGTTGCTTCGAGGGAGGATCCAGGAGGGAAGACGTGGTTCGTGCTTCCTCCGTTTCTGTTTTTAAAACAATTACATTAATGCTCATGGATATTATTTTTGAATAATTATTTGAGGGCTTGTATGCCCATGTCGCCAAAGTGTGGCATAAACACTTTATTAAATGTTTCCGCTGCTTTAATTAATTATTTTACATTATGATTGTTTATGGATGTACTATTGTGAATGGTATTCAAGACGCCTTGTATGGTATGGATGAGTTGGACTGCGGTTGACTAATCGTACTGTACGGCGGGTTGTTGACGTGTCCGGTAGGTCCGGGGCGTGACAAAAACGATTTGGTAAACACAATTTTCTATTTCCCTTTCTCCAGTTTTTCAGCAATTTTGTTTGATAAACATGTTTTCCGTTTTCCTTTTTCGAGTTTTCTAGTTTTATGAAAAACTGAAAAATATCTCTGTTAGTAAACAGACTCTAAGATTATATGGCCACTTTAATTTTTATTTTTAGGGAAGAGTAAAAAAAGATAAGAAGAAACAAAGGATGATAGAACATCATTGTTTATAACAACACAACACTGTTAGAGTTAGATTGAAAACATACGAAGTACTTAGCAGTTAGCATTATAAACTTATACCCCACAAACCAACACCTATTGAAGACAGAATCACAGAAATATCTGATTCGTGATCGATTTATGTAGAATAGAATAAAATGGTCAGTTACATGTTCCAGAATCAACATGGCAACAGAGTGTCATATGTACTGAGAGCAGGGTCGATGCCATTAGCAAAGAAGAAATATCTAATTCCAATTCGCACCCACTAACTAGAAAAAGAAAGGATTATTACCTTATTTTATCCAACACTATCATCAAATTCACAAATCTATCCTATACTTTCACTTTTATCAAAAAAAGACTCAAACTTCATCTTTTTCAACAATTATGCTTTTCTTTTTTGTTTTTTCATAATTACAAATTTTTATCAATACAATAAGATATACTACGTAAGCAATATAAGTTTGTAAACTTAAAACTAGAAAGAAGTGGAAAAAATATGAAATATAAATATAATTCTCTTCTTAATTTTGACTGATTCATCCATTCAAAGTGTAATTGTGAGAGGAGTTGAAGTTTGAGTTTTTTTAATAAAAGTGAAAGTATGTGATAGATTTGTGAATTTGATGACAATTGAGGATATATTTAGCTAATACTCCAAAAAGAAAATATTCAAATAGAACCTTTTACTATTTTTAATTCATCACATTATTTCATCTGTTTAAAAAAGTATGTATAAATCTGCTTACTTCATAAAATTGATCAATCTAGTTACTTAAGTGATTTTTGACTTGTTATAGCGGGGTTTTTAAAGAAAAATCTAATAAAATTTTCTATATTCAGAAAACATAGAACAATTGTAAAACTTAAAAATGTCAAATTATACTATATTTATTTTGAATGCGTTTGATATTCAAAATATCTTTTTAAAAGTTTTAACATTTTAATTTTATATTTTTATTCATTTTTGGATATTTTTTATTTTCAGTTTTTATTTTCACTTTTTTAAAATTATATATCTATTGACATTTTACTATTTTGTATATTTCCATATCTATATTTTGTAAAACATACACAGAGTATGATTTTGTTAAAAGAAAGTAAATTTCTCAAATAAAACTATCATGTTTTTATTCCCAAAATATGAGCACTTACTGTCAAACTTGAAAAATATTGCTATATTTAAAGTCTAATACTGCCAAAACATGACAATAATTATTATTTTTTAGGAATAAAAACATGATAATTCTATTTTTTTAGGAAACATGATAATTCTATTTTGAAATATACAAACGCTTTTAGTCTTATTTAGGGTAATTTCCCATAAAAGAATCATAAATTTTCTTACTTTTTATTACCCCGAGCAGGGCCCACTATATAAAGCCGAGGGAGGGCATGCTTAATTATTATATAAAAAACATGACAATAATTATTAATACGTATTTTTAAATATGTCTTGCTATAACAGGTCCAAATAATCATGCTTACTTATGTGATACCCGTACTTCAAGTCGTGTGATGGATTTAAGAAAATACTAAAAAGGCTATTTGAATCTTTTCCCAAAAATAATTGGCAAATTATACCGTGGGATTGACACACCATGTGCATGGTGTGCCGATCTCAATACGGTACCGTTTTGGTAATTAAAAGCAGCGCATCTGATATATTTTCTCTCCTTCTACCGGCTTATATTCTTCTCCGATTCATCACCGCCTATTTCTTCCCAGCACCGTTCTACGCAAGACGCAACTGACAGAAAGCTTCCTCCCCAGATTTTTTATTCTTCCCATGCTTCCACGCACTTACTTTTCTTCCCGCTTCCCCTTCCTTTTCTCTTGCTTTTTGATCTGATTTTCTTTCTCTTTTTTTTTTCCTTCGTTTTCTTTTCCAATTATCTTCAACTCCATCATTAAAATATTAAAAATATGATTACAATTACTTTTTATCTCTTTTATATCTTTTTAGTGTTTTTCAATACATTAAGTTTAATTACATGTTCTATCTACAATAGGTAATTACATTTTCATGTGTGCGATTACATTTGCATATGTGTGAGTTACATTTACACATGATTTCTGAAGTTATATTTGATACTACATGAAGTTACATCTTCTTATGCGTGAGTTATTGACGTGCACTTTGTCGTGATGTGCACTCAAAATAATAATACAATACAACACTTATACGTAGTATAGCGTAGTAAGGTTCGTATCCGCAGGGAAAGGAATACTTCTCTTTTTTATAACTAGTAAGAAGGGTTTTTTTTAGGTTTGTTGTTGAAGAACTTTTAAGAATATTAAAACACAAAGATGAACGAGTTATGTGGTTTAATTAATGAGAAGGAGACTTGGTTTTGCTTTTATCCACTTAATGAAATGTTCGTCGATCCCGGTTATACCTTTAACTATCTTCCTCTCGAATACTCAATCGAGGAGTATATCCAATTCATCGAGGGTAGTTATTAATAACGAGACGCGTTCATTAATAAAACTTACTACCGAGTTAATATAGAACACGCGCCGTATATTCACTCGATAGTAGCAATAAAATCAAGATGAAAACGATTGAGATTGATAACCTCAACACAAGCGGTTTATTGGTTTAATCAATATAATTAATTCCCCTTGGCTTATTAACCATGAAACGACGCATGCATTAATAACCCAAGTTTACTACCGTGAAAGGACCGAATTAATAACAAGCGTATTAATCGACCGATTCTAGTAATAATTAATATATGAAACAAAACTAGTTGATCCTTTAAGTAATGTTCAAAATATTAATATGAAATATGAATAGGAATTAATTAATACTCAAGGAAGAATATTAAAGAAGATGAATCCTACTATAGTTAATATCAAGATGTTAACTAATTGTCATCTTAGTAACACTCCCCAATATTAACATAGAGGAAGAAATAGCTATTACTATAACTAATGTCAAGATGTTAACTAATTGTCATCTTAGTAACACTCCCCAACATTGATATAGAAATAGTATTTAAAGGAAGAAGTAATATTCAAGGAAGAAGATTAAAGAGAATAACTCACAACTTACAAATTCATTAAGCTTCAAAGTAGCAAAACCAAGATGGAAGAGTTTAGCTCCTCATTTGGAGACTAAACATGAAAAAATATAAAGAAAACACTAATCTAAACTGAGCTAGAGAGTATATGTGAATTGGTGATTTTATTGTGAAGGAAAGGGGTGCAGGGTCTGATACCCGATCGGGTATATAGGATACCCGATCGGGTATCTTAGGAAATTGCCCAGAAACTGAAAAATAGGGTCATACCCGATCGGGTCTGCCGGTCACCCGATCGGGTCTGTCGGTCACCCGATCGGGTATGACAATCGAACATGGCCAAAATCTTTCCCGCATGTTGCTCGGTTCCCGGGTTGATCCGATTTGATTTTTCAGAAGGGTACCCGACCGGGTATAGGTCATACCCGATCGGGTATAGACCAAAAACGAAATCTTCACTTTTTGTCTTGCATTTTTGCACTTTCCTTCCACTTGTGGTGTTCACCAATGGTCCCCAAATTGTTCTTGGACCTGTTTGAGCTCAGAATAAACCTAATCTAAACATATTACAAATATTTTACAAACTAAACTATTACACCAAAAGTGTGTAATTTCCAAAGTAACAATCACTCTAAACTAATTAAAAACACAAATTTAGACATGGAAATTACATGAATGTCAGTTATATGTTTTTATACGCAAATTACATCTAATTATGCGTGAGTTACATCTTTTTTAAAGTGAGTTACATCTTCTAAAGCGCGAGTTACATTTGAACTTGCTTTAACAAGTTACATTTTGTATACACCTAAGTTACATTTTCTATCAACACGAGTTACATTTGTAATAACATGAGTTACATAAAAAATCAACATGTGTTATTAAAACAAAAAAAGAATTTTTTAATTCCTTTTGATGGTCATTATACTAAAAATAAAACATATTCACGATTTACGTAAAGTAATTGTGCAATTAGACTCTCTTTTTTCATTGTTTACATTGAAATCAATGTTTTTATTTTTTATACTATGTATTTGACAAGTTACATCTCAACTGGACTAGAGTTACATTGATCAATAATGTGCGTTACATAGCTTTACACGCGAGTTACATCATTCATGCAACTGGGACAAAAAAACAGTTATTGTATAGGCGTGTACTGTTCACGCGTTTTTTTTAATATTGTGCAAAACTACGTAGTTTTGGGGAGTGGAGCATGGTGCTCACCGTGGGATGATCCCACGGTATACGAACTGAAAATAATTACATCGGTATTTGGGTGCATATAACGCTACAATTATAAGATGAATAGAGAGTGAATATGAAATCTCTTAATCTCTTTTTTTTGGAAGAAAAAGGTTTAAATTGATAACAAATACTTCGTAATTCAGATTATGGGTAATCCGACAAAAAGGTTCCTAGCAACCGCCGTCCCGCGAACCAGACTTGGAATTAATCACCTCCAACGAAGCAATATAATTCGCTAATCCATTAATGGGCACAAATGAGCCAAAGACGGTTACCGCAATCCTCTCATCACCCATATCCAAATCAATCGTCTTACAAAAAGGAACAACAACAACGAAAAAAGTCACACAGCAACATAAAATATCACTATGGAGAAATAAAAAGCAAATTAACTTGAAACTCTGTCCGAGCCCGCCAATCCACACGAGCACCCAAACGTTCTTCACCTTGCTTGCACTCCATGGCGGCGGCTCGGGAGGGGGACACACTCGCCACTCATCCGCTTCAATAGTCAGTATCACTCCTACCACCAGAAACCCTGGACTGCTTTTCCCTACCGGAACGTCTTCCGTATTGAAATCCAGATCTTCTTCCTCCATCCCAATCGCTATGTTTTTGTACTTGTATACAAAACTCTCCAATCGCATGAATCCCCCGTAACAACACAAAACTTTTGTGGAGGACGACTTTGGCGGACCATGCCGAAAGCTCCAACGCCGAAAGCTCCAACGCTCCTCCTTCCGCCGCTGACCTCCTCGACCGAAACAAAGCTCCAACCAAAGCGAAGCCCCGAAGAGCTCGATAAAAAAACCGCACTCCAACACAGCCACCGACGACGGCCGAGACCTCCTAGGCAGCTGGCGGCGGACAAAGACTAGGCATTACCCGAAGGTAACCCTAGAGAAATCTCTTAATCTCTTATTAAACTAATTAATTAATAAACCTAGTACCTATATGTGGATATGTCGGTAAAGGCCTAAAGGGTAAAAGAGGTGTATCTATAACTTAACTATGTAGCTTGATCATAAGATGCTACTCCAGAAAGATGGATGCTCCAGAATTGATCATATGTCGGAGTATTTTTAGAAGGAAAACGCATTTTGGAAAGATTGATGCCCCAGGATTGAACTAAAATCACATTTCACAAAGACCGGTACGTGCGAAGAGAATCATAAACCAAGACACATTCCATGAGAAACAGTTCTCCCTAATTAGCAATGCCTATGGTAAACATTATACTCTCACCTACATCTAAAATGACGTCATTTAGATTAAGATTTAATTAAAAAAACACGTGTCAACAATAACCTTGTTTTTATCTTAATACTTTTTGTGACATAAATCGCATGCATTTAATTGTAACTTGCGTTGTTATCAAATGTAATGTCAATTAGTGGCAAATGTAACTCGTGCACTCGATTGCAACTCTGCAACTCGCGTTACTTAATTTAGTGATTATTCTGCATGCCACGTTTCGTATATGAAATGTAATTAACGTTTCGTATATAATTAACTTATATACGGAGTATCTATTTTAGAGTTATCAACGAGACTCTTAATATATACTCCGTTTTTTTAACGTTATGATACTAGTCCAATGCATGACTGATAATTAACTCACTTTATGATTTCATTCACTCTACTAGTTTAATGCATGACTTTTAATTTGAATATATTAATAAAGGCTCCACTGCACTTTCATCATCACATTCTGATTGGATGCATTGGGAGATAATGTTATGAAAGAATAATAAATATGCATGAAACAAAACTTATAGACCATGCATTATTATTTGATAGATTCTAATTCTCTGTCGTCCCAGGTTAAGCATAACCGAGGTTTATTTGGCATCCATATATATTCATTCCCAGCTGGTTGGCCGCATCTTATTTATTCTTTTGCCTAACGTATATGCTGCATGCTTCTCTTGCCAGGCTATATTTGCACACGCTCTCTACACCAACTTCCCTCGATCTATACTATATATACCTCACCCATTCTATTCTCAAACTTCCATTCCGCCTAAGCAGATCAGATCAGATTCTTTGTAAAGTAGAAAATGAGTGGGGAAAAAAGTGGTAGTGTTGAGATCAATATACAGGGTTCTGCTCCTTCCATTGGTGAGGATGATAAGAAGAAAGCAGCTGAGATAAGCTTGCCATGCAAAGGGTGGATTTTCAGAGTAGCAGACTTCTACAAAGAGGACACAAAAAGGGTGTTTTTTCCACTAAAAGTTGGCCTGGCTGTGCTCCTGGTTTCACTTATCACATTGTTTCAAGCTCCTTATCAACTGTTTGGTGATAGCAGTATATGGTCCATCGTCACTGTTGTCATGATATTTGAATATAACGTTGGTATGTACGTATTTTCTTCACTCCCCATTCTTATTATCTATATGTACTTTGCTTAAGTGGATCCAGTAATTAATCTGAATTGTACTAAGTCAAAGAGTAATTATACTAGGCTTAACACTAACGTGGTGAGATTAATATGGAAAAAGAAAAAAGTTAGATTAAATAAAATTTAAAAAATTAAGTTATCCTGAACTTTCTACTACTATATTAACCCTAACGAAGATCCTACCCTCTTTACTTTGAAAATTATTAACAAATGGGAAATTACTCTAAATAGAACTAAACGAGTTTGTGTATTCCAAAATAGGACTATCATGCATATTTCTATTCATTAAATAGAAGTAATTACTGTTATGTTTCAGAAGTACCATATGACTTTAAAATCACAGTATTTCAGAGCTTGATAGTAATTACTCATATTTAGAGAATAAAAACATGACAGACCTATTTTTGAAATTCTGAAACTTTTTTACTCCTTTTCCAGGAATTTTCCCTTAACAAATCTATATGTAGTATTATTAATGATGAATCTTTATTTACGAGTAGTATTATTAATGATGAATCTTTATTTTTGTGTTACGTTTTTGAATTAATGAACTGCACCGTGCATGCAAGGTGCGACACTGAATCGAGGATTAAACAGGGCATTGGGAAGCATGATTGCGGTGGGACTAGCCATTGCCATATCTGAAATAGCTGTGAGAAGTGGGCATATTTCTGAGCCTATGCTCATTGGTACCGCCATCTTTCTTGTTGGTATGCCAGACGTCGTCCGAAATCCCATACACTATATTTATCACACAAAAGTTTTCCACTTTTTACTTTTTTTGTCAAATATTTTACAGTACGTGACTAATGTTTTCATCAATTCATCATTGATTTAAGCTCTTGGTTTGACTCTTACGATTTTTCTGGCATTTGATAGTAAGTAATTAAGATTAAATACGTATAACTTACACAAAAATCTGTTATATATTAACATTGGTGTCATACATTAGTACATAGTATGACAAAACACTAAAAAAATACGTAGTACATAGGAGGTGTTTGGAAAATGACGTTTCAGCCAAAAAATGGTGGTTTGACCCCTTTTAGCGTTTCCAATAAAATGAAAACACCGTTTGGTAAATAGCTATTCGACCGTAGCGTTGTGTATGAAACCGCTGAAATAGAACGCTGTAAATATGAGAGTTTTGAGTTAGCGTCTTGAAAAATGACGTTTTGTACTACTTTTCAAGGTCAAACAACTAAATTATCAAACGTCTTCTAGTAACCCGTCAACATATTCCGCCAGTCAAACCTACTGACTAGATCCTCTATTGACAACCGCCATCCGCTATCAGCTAAATGCCAAACACGCCCATAATATTTGATGATCTGTTATAAGGAAATCAAATTTTCAAACCATTAGTTAGCGGTTAAAGTTAATTACAAAGCTTGACCTAAAACTCAAAGGCTGAACTTTTATATAAGTAGGTAGTTTTGAAAAGAACACTTACGTACCATTTTGTTTACAGATATACCATTGGTGTTTAACATGTAGTTTTGAAAGTCAAATATTTTTATGAGGGAATTCTTAACAAAGTTTACTACAAAAAATTTGTACGTACTTTATAATTGATCAAAGTTTGGGTGGGAACCAAATGTGTACAGATGAAGAGATTAATTTGCCTATTTTGATATAAAACTTTGGTCTTTATTTCTTGTATCCGCAGCTACGATCACATCCTTAATGAAGCTATGGCCACCTCTAGTGCCATACGAATATGGATTTCGGGTTACACTTTTCACCTTCTGTTTGATCATAGTTTCTGGATATCGAACGGAGAGCGCCATAAAATTTTCCGTGGACAGGATTTACTCGATCGTCATCGGGACAATAATAGCTGTGCTGGTAAATGTGCTAGTTTGTCCCGTCTGGGCTGGAGAGCTGTTACACAAAGAGCTTGTCTCCAGCTTCAATATAGTTGCTGACTCACTTGAAGGTAATTAATAAACAGAACCAAATTTGGGGTGTGTCCACAAATTTTGGTTATACTAAGCATAAAATAATACTTCCTCCGTACAACTATCATCGTCGCATTTTACCTTTTCGGCCCGTCCCACTAAGATTGTCACATACTCCCCCCGGCTCATTTTAGTTAGCCAAACTTGGACTTTTCAAGTCAATAACGTCTAACTTTGACCGATTATATGCTTATATAGATAAAGTATTGATGCTATGAAAATGTTCTTTGTTAAAAATACTATCATAAAAGTGTAAAATTATTACATTTTGCATAAATATATTAGTTAAAATAATTGGTCAAAGTTTACCATCTTTGACTGGAAAAGTCAAAGATGGCTAATTATATTGGGACGAAGGTAGTACCAAATTTGGTAAAGTTTGTGTAGCTCTAAATCATTCTTACTTTATTCTTATTTTTTCAATTCAATATCAACCACATAAACCACTTTTTATTAATTTGCATGTCACTCCCTCTTATTCCATTGTTAGGGGATGGAGGGAGTAGCAATAATGTTGGTCAAATAGGAAAAATGAAAAAATGAACACTAGATAAATATAGAGATATAAATAAAAATGATCCATATAGGAACAAAACATAATCACAATGACACAATATGAGTGACTGACTATGACTTATTCCCGTTTAAAGACTCACATGCTCTCCTTCAGAGTCGGCGGATGTTTTCTTTTGGACTGTTTTTAGTCTCAGACCAGATCAGACTAGACCAGACTTCCGTAGTTATAAAATACACAGAAACCAGACGTTTATCAGACCAGCAAATTTCAGTCCAAAAGAAAACATCCTTATGCAATACGCGCCGCGCGCACTATCTAGGATACCCCTGTTCAAGTTAATAATTTGGCCGTGACATTTTTTGTCACATTTATGTCATCTCAATATGACTTCTGTTTTTTGTAAATTGACAATCAAGACGACATTTTTATTACTAATGGAGATGACATTTTTTATTGATATGTTTTCAGTCAATATGCTAACAAAATGTCCATTGAAACGAGATTTATTTCAGTGAAGGATAACATTATTGCTTGATTTATGATGTCAATTTGACTTGATTTTTATTATATTTGGCTTATTGATGTCAATTTGACTTGATAATGGAAGTACAATAGTGTCAATGATGATATTCTTGTTTCACAATGGTATATATTCACCTTGAGATAAGAATATACTTGCTTTCTTTAATTAAGGACATTATTTGCATTGACTCGGTCTCCTGTCACATATACGGAAAAGTCGCTAAGTTCTATTTTTGGAAGTTCATAATGTTTTACTCCTATTTGGTTATTTTCTCAAGTAACACCCTCGACCAATAAACACGGGCAAGAAGATGAAACAGATAAAAATAAGAAAGAAATTAAAAACCATGCATGCATAGGCCGGTTACAAATTTACAAATTTGTGTTGCTTATATCTAGTTGGTATTGATAAAAATGTGTAATTTTGAAAAAACAAAAAAAGAAAAGCGTAATTGTTGAAAAAGACGAAGTTTGAGTCTTTTTTTGATAAAAGTGAAAGATCAGGATAACTTTGTGAATTTGATGATAGTTTGGAATAGTTTAAGAAAAAAAACCATTTGAAGGCCGGTTAGTGATCAGAAGATGCATGTGTGGTCATATTTCAGAATGTGTAAGAAAGTATTTGGAAGAAGATGATGGAAGACCGAGCTACCTTAAGTTTAGGGATGAGCCAGCTGCATACTTGAAAACCCGTGTTGCATTGAGCTCTCCTGAAAAGATTGAATCACTGGTAGAAATCAATAT